CTCCAATAGTAGTGATTGAAAAAAAGGGAGCGATCTTTACTTTACCCATTGTTTGTGTAAACTATCTGTCATATTCATAATCTTGTGCCCGTCACCACCAGGTGGGAAGTATGTCCCTCGTGCAGTGCTGGTGGACTTGGAGCCAGGAACGATGGACTCTGTGAGGTCGGGTCCTTTTGGCCAGATCTTTAGACCAGACAACTTTGTCTTTGGTGAGATTTTAAATTTATCTGTAAAACTGAAAATGAAGGTTTTGACTGTACAGCTGTGATACAAGCCTGTTTTTGCATGTACCACAGGCCAGAGTGGGGCAGGTAATAACTGGGCTAAAGGTCACTACACTGAAGGAGCTGAGCTGGTTGACTCTGTCCTGGATGTGGTGAGGAAGGAGGCAGAGAGCTGCGACTGCCTCCAGGGCTTCCAGCTCACACACTCCCTGGGTGGAGGCACTGGCTCTGGCATGGGCACGCTGCTCATCAGCAAAATCCGAGAGGAGTATCCGGACCGCATCATGAACACTTTCAGCGTGGTGCCTTCGCCCAAGGTACACCTCACTCATTCAAATGTTATCAGATGCTGCTCTACCTGTTTCCTCTATGCTCTAATGGTGTTCCTGCTTCCTCCCTTTGTCTCCTCTTTCCCTTCACTCCCTCTCTCCAGGTTTCAGACACSGTGGTGGAGCCCTACAATGCCACCTTGTCTGTCCACCAYCTGGTSGAGAACACAGARGAGACCTWCTGCATTGATAATGAGGCCCTGTATGACATCTGCTTCCGTACACTGAAACTCACTACACCCACCTATGGTGACCTCAACCACCTTGTCTCAGCCACCATGAGCGGGGTGACCACCTGTCTGCGCTTTCCTGGCCAGCTCAATGCTGATCTGAGGAAACTGGCTGTCAACATGGTGCCCTTCCCCAGGCTGCACTTCTTCATYCCAGGCTTTGCCCCCCTGACCAGTCGGSMCAGCCAGCAGTACAGGTAGAGAGGCAGGAGTCCGTATCTGACCAGCAGTTGGTATTTTACTATATTTTGAATCTTACTTGAGAATGATCTGTCTTCTTCTAGGGCACTGACAGTTCCTGAACTCACCCAGCAGATGTTTGATGCCAAAAACATGATGGCTGCTTGCGACCCACGCCACGGGCGCTACCTTACTGTCGCCGCCATCTTTCGGGGTCGCATGTCTATGAAGGAGGTGGACGAGCAGATGTTGAACGTGCAAAACAAGAACAGCAGCTACTTCGTGGAGTGGATCCCCAACAACGTCAAGACGGCCGTCTGRGACYTCCCTCCRCGCGGCCTCAAGATGGCCTCCACTTTCATTGGCAACAGCACAGCCATTCAGGAYCTGTTCAAACGCATCTCAGAGCAGTTCACTGCTATGTTCCGCCGCAAGGCCTTCCTCCACTGGTGAGTGAAATAAGACTGATGTCAAGACAATGGGGAGAAGTTTGTGTTCTTGTGCTGGTCTGTTCTTACCCAGAATTCATACACTAACATGATGCCCATCAATAAGTATTGACTTAACGTCCATTGTTTCAGGTACACGGGCGAAGGCATGGACGAGATGGAGTTCACWGAGGCTGAGAGCAACATGAACGACTTGGTGTCCGAGTACCAGCAGTACCAGGACGCCACTGCTGAGGAAGAGGGCGAGTTTGAGGAAGAAGGCGAAGAGGAATTGGCCTAAACAACAGCCATGACCTGTTTCTTACTATGCAAGAGTTAAGGGCTGGGAGACAAAGATTAAACAGTTAGCTCCACTGAAAGTTTTGAAATGATAACATTGAAATATTGTCCAGCCTTAATGGGAGTGCAAAGAAATTAGTGTATAACTCAGGGTTTCTGCGGGTCATCAAAAAGCATTAAAAGTCATTAAATAAATTTTGCTAAAATTAAGGCCTTAAATAGCATTAAAAAGCAATGAATTAGATTTCCAGAGGCATTAAAAATATTTTTTAAATATTTTAGATATAGGATCTACCTTGACGAAGAAAGAGGGTGCCATGCACGGACTCATTGGAAGATGAGCTGGGAGAACTGAAAAAGAAAAGGGCAGTGTTGACAGAGGTGTGCGCCAGCCTTCAGAAGGAGGCTGATCAACTCGCTGAGAAGGCCGAAAACAAATCTGGCTCAGATGATTACAAAATCTAATACTCTAAGGAGGAGATACAAGAACAAATGCCTTGAACTGAAAAATGTTGAGACAGAGTTGGAACTAAAAGCGAATGAACTAAGGCACATGCACTAATTATCATACAAAGTTAAGTCCCAGTGATTTCTTTGTTACGTCAAGTACTGAACTTAATGCAAACATTATGTTCCAGCCTTCAAGTTGAAAGTTTCAGTTTTTTCCTTCACTCTCCAGACAGATCAAATTGTGGGTTGTGTATTCAGTGTCAGGACAATTTCCACAAACAAGCTTGATGGATTCTGGTACTATTTGAAATTTTGAAATATGTGCAGATACATTTTAACATTGTAAGCTGTCTCATGAGCCATTTCAAATTCTTTATAGAGTGACAGTTTATGTCAATTATTTAGATTCTCAAATATCTTATATTATCATTGTCAAATGAAATGCTTGCAATTTAATTCAGAGTTGGATATGGATATTTTGTGTGTGTGTATATAGGTAAGTATGCACACGTATAGTATTTGCAGTTAGTCGTGGGCATTAAAAATGTTTGAAATGGCATTAAAAAGCATGAAATTAGATTTGCTGGTACCTGCAGAAACCCTGTAACTGGTTTTGGTTTATAAATGTTCACACTCTTTCCGTTTCCTTCATTTTTTGAGTTTCTTCCATCCTGTTTTGAATATGAATGTTTTCAACTTTAGTTTCGTCTTTGTTTAACGTGTATCACCTAAATGTCACACCCCCCTGAGTAGCGTTGGCAACCTTGAAACGTCTGGCATGAGTCAGCAAACAAGTGGAAAAACAAACTTTGGACATATTGTTGAAATTAAAATGGCTAACGTTACCTCTGTTATACACAAGTCTCAGGAAGTTCCAGTACTTGTCTTATATTAAAATCCACCATGTCCTGTAGCAGTTTGAGTCTATATATAACAGCTCAGTCCACTCATTACAGACTGACTGCTTTGTCCACTCGGTGGTGGTGTTGTGCAGTAGTGTGAGTGATCACCCTGTTTGTTCTTTTTCAAGTTCCAGGTTTAGAATGTGTTTGATGAAAGAGAATGTCACATTGGTCCGTTCAGGGCAATTTTTGCTGAATGTAACATCTACTCTGCAAGCAGAATTAAATAAATTATTTTTTTCTTGGGATTCTCACGATGTGTTTATTTCTCAGATAGGACTTATACTTTTTGAGTTAGAAGCATTTGTTTGAGGGGTGCTGTGCAGCTTCTTCGGCTCTCTAAGAACAGGGGGAGACAGGTGTTCCTAATCAAATCAGTGAGTATCCATAGCAACCCCATAGACACACAGAGGAAGAAGCTCCTCTCTAAATGTACTGATTTCAAAGTAAGCAAAGTTTATTTTGAAAATAAGTCCCCCCCCCCCATTGTAATAGAATGTTACCAAGAAACATGTAATGAGCCTTTATTTTGAAAATAAGTCCCCCCCCCATTGCAATAGAATGTTACCAGGAAACCTGTACAGAGCCTGTTTTTTCAAAATAAAACCGTAGAGATAGTTCACTGACCTTAAAAGGAAGCCTGACGGAGGCTGGATTTTCAAAATAAACCCCCCAGATAGTTAAGGGATGTTCCTAAGAAGCCTAAAAAAGGCTGGACTTCAAAATAAAAACCGTCCCTCTGTTGCCAACCTGGATCGTGTGATCAAAATGCAGCTTTTATACATGTCTTTCTCTCTCAGGGTCTCTGTCCTTCCTCTCAAAGGACATGTCTCTCTGTGCGGAGCAGCGTCAAAAAGGCACCCATCCAAAATGTCTCGACAGGAGAGATTTTCTAGTTGTCCTTATTGTTCATTCTCAGTCTCTTCTTTTTCTTCTGTCATGACTTATGTCCTCCGGGATTTATGAAGATAAGTTAGATT